CTTCGCGCGGAAAAAGGTTGCCTCCGCTTCCGCCCTTACCCGACACTCTCAGCCCGCGGCCATCTTTCCCGAAGCCGCGCCAGTCTCCTTGAGCCGTTGCTTTCCTTTTCTTGGCTGGTTCCCTGGTACACTGGAATGGCATTTCTTCTCCTCTTCCCGATGCTTCCCTCGTTGCCATTAGTCTCGCCGCTCGGTCCGAGAGACTTCGTTGGCTTCGCCTTCTGTGAGCAGAGAGCGTGTCATTTTCTTCTTTGGCCCAATTCGAGTGCCGTGGACTGTTGGGGGTGGTCTTCTTTCTCTTCTCCTCTATTCTCTGCCGATAAGGATAGTTCCTTTGGATTTTCTTTGGAGGTTGTTGGAAAAGTTTTCAAAGAGGAGAGTAGAAATTTTGGTTGTGAGGAATTTGGGAAGAGAATTTCTGTGAGAGCGTTCTTTGAGGCGAACTCTTGTATTGCAGGGCTTTACTTTAGCATTCTTGAGGTATAATTCTTCCCCCATCTTCTTCGGTGCTTTGTTTCTTTTCGATTTTCCTCTCTGCCGGGTCTTTGAACTTGGCTCTGTTGGAGAATACAGCATGCTAGCTCACTTTATTTGGATATATTTTCTTGAGATATTCACTTCAAGTGCATTTGGAAATGAAAATGTGAGCATGTGTTAAAACTAGACTTGGTTACTTGCTTAAACTAGGGAGACTATGGCATCCTTAAGATTATTGTGGCATGTTTATGTTGGAAACATTTAAGGAGTTAAGGCATGACTTTGAAATGATTTTTGCTCCTCTTGCAAGCATGTTGGGGTTTTGGCTTTAGCATCTTATGACTGGTTCTTGCTTAAGATGAATGCTTGAGAGTGCATTTTACTGTTTTATGCATGTTTGGGGGCTCGGTTTTGGTTTCCTGTGGCTTCCCCTGGCTTGAAATATATGCTATGAGAAAACTTATTTAATTTGGAAAGTGTTACAGTTTGTTCTGAAGGCTGGGTTTAGCTCCTTGTGAAGTGTCTCCTCTGTTCATATACTTGTTGAATAATTTCATGTTTAGAATGTTTAGACATGCAGGTTGTTCCTCGGGCTTAAAATGGCTAGAGTTTTAATGTCGTATGGCTCGATTATATCAATGCTTGGGCTTGTTTTAATTTTGTTGAGCTCTGACTTTGGCTTTTGAGTTTTCGTTGAGATCGATTTTGGCTTCTTATTTCTCGTCGAACTCGGATTTGGTTTCTGGTTCTTGTTGAACTTGGTTTTGGCTTGATTTGAAGTCATGGTTTTGGGCTTTGAATGGTTGGGTTTTGAGCTCAGTTTGGCTCTAGTTGGGGGCTGGCTTTGGCTTTGTCTTTGGTTGAGGGCTGGCTTTGGCTTTGTCTCTAGTTGAAGGCTGGCTCTAGTTTTGGTTTTGATCGAGCTCGGTTTGGCTCTGGTTGGGGGCTGGCTTTGGCTTTCTTTCTTGTTGAACTCGGTTTGGCTCTAGTGTGGGCTGTGTTTGCTTGCTCTAGCTCTGCTGACTTGGTTTGATTCTAGTTGTTGGTCTTGAGTTGCTTCGTTTGGCCTTTGTTGGACTTGGATTAGCTCTAGAATGGGGGGCTGTGTTTGCTTGTTTTAGCCTTGTTGAGCTCGGTTTTGGTTTTGTTTCTTGTTGGGCTCGGTTTGGTTTTGATTGAGGGCTGTGTTGCTTTGTTCAGCCTTTACCCGAGGAATGGTTGGGAGGTGGCTTTGCTGGCTTTGGTTCCTACTCCTTACTCGTGAGGTCTGTTGCAAGTCTTTGGGTGTGCTTTGGCTTTCCCTGCTAGGCTTGAATTGTCTTGAGAGTTGTGAATAAATCAAGTTTGCCATCCAAAATAAAAAATCATAATTATGTTAGTTATCCTTTCAGTTTGTCAGGGAAGCATAATTGCCTTTGGTGGTCCTTTTGTTGGCTTTGGTCGTGAGCCCCCCTTGTGCTTTGGATGTGGGCTTTAGCAGCTGCTCTTTGCTGCCTTAAGCCGTGAGCTTTAGCAGTTCTTTCCTGGGTCCTTTGTTGTCTTAACCGTAATCCTTATTTATTGTCTCTTGGACTGCCTTTGGTTGTGGGTCTTGGCAGCTGTCCCTTGCTTTAACCGTGAACCTCTTTTGACCCCGTTCCTTGCCTTGGCCGAGAGCTTTGGTGGTTGTTTCCTCCTCTCTATTGACCCTGGCCGTGAGTGTTTATCTGGTTTTATGGGAAGATTTCGTGCTTATTTAATGTATGAGGTTTGAGCCCTCCTGTCCTTGTTCCTAGCTTTGGGCCGAGAGCCTTGTTGGTTGTTTTCTCTTATGTGCCTCGGGTTTTGCTTTGGTCGTGAGTCCTACTTGCTGTTCAGTTTCTTTGTAGTGATCCCGATCGTGAGCATTTACTTGATTTTGTAGGAAGATTTTCATGTTTGTTCGATATGTAAAGTTATGGATTAAGTTGGAAGTTGGAGGATTTTGATATCAACTTTGGGATCTAGGGAGGAGTTGCAATCTCATTTTGGAAAAGCATTTGTTTGATTTGATTAATCCTGCGTTCTTGGGGTTTGGAGACTTATGACTGGTTCTTGCTTAAGATGAATGCTTGAGAGTGCATTTTACTGTTTTATGCATGTTTGGGGGCTCGGTTTTGGTTTCCTGTAGCTTTCCCTGGCTTGAAATATATGCTATGAGAAAACTTATTTAATTTGGAAAGTGTTACAGCTTGTTCTGAAGGCTGGGTTTAGCTCCTTGTGAGGTGTCTCTGTTCATATATTTGTTGGAATAATTTCATGCTTAGAATGTTTAGACATGCAGGTTGTTCCTTGGGCTTAAAATGGCTAAATCTTTAATGTTGTATGGCTCGGTTTTAGCCCCTGTTGGGCTCGGTTTTGTTTTTTGGCTTAATTGGAGTCACGATTTTGGGCTTTGAATGGCTGGGTTTTGAGCTCAGTTTGGCTCTGGTTGGGGGCTGGCTTTGGCTTTGTCTCTGGTTGAGGGCTGACTTTGGCGCTCTGGTTGGGGGCTGGCTTTGGCTTTGTCTCTGGTTGAGGGCTGACTTTGGCTTTGTCTCTAGTTGAAGGTTGGCTCTGGTTTTGGTTTTGTTTCTTATTGAGCTCAGTTTGACTCTGGTTGAGGGCTGGCTTTGGCTTTGTCTCTAGTTGAAGGTTGGCTCTGGTTTTGGTTTTGATCGAGCTCGGTTTGGCTCT